CTTATGTCTCGCTAAACGTCATCGGTCGGTAAAACCTCAACGTTCTTAGCAACTTATGAAAATCAGGCACTTTACTTGTGTGCATGACTGTGAGTACTAAATACTCCACGTTTAGCCAACGCATTGCTCATTCGGCTGTATCAGCCGATTTGCACAATGCTGTTGCTGCTGCTTGAAAATCGGCAGTTTGCATATATCATAAAGCACGACGGATCGAACTCGGGGGCCAAAACCTCAACTACTCACGCAAATGTGGCAAGCGTAAAACAAAAAATACAAACGCGAAATCGACAAAGCTCAAAACAAATGTGTTAACCCTTATTATCTTCAGGAATTAACATTCTCCTACCTATCCTTTAACTTCCTCTGATGGAACCAAATTTTAAGCGGAGACCACTCAATGATGCGCTGCACAACTGAACATCCCAAACGCAAGTCAAACGGTCCAACATAACCCAAGCCACTTAACGAGGCCTGCTGGGGTCTTCATTCATCAATCACTCAACTCGCACATTCGATCTTATCTGAGTCAAGAGAACTGATGCTATTTCAGCAGGTTTGGATCACACCGATTGAGTCAGTTTCACTAGGAATAAATAGGTGTCACGCTCTAATAGAGCGTGACTCCTCGAATGGAAACAAGAGAGTTATTCTATGTTGCACAGATGGTGATGTGGCTTTGTTCGGGGACAAATCAACGTCAATTACGTTGGCTTTATAAGTTTGTGGGTTACAATTCAATGACCTCATCAAACGCAACACTAGTGTCGACTAAAATTATGGGAATGACTCGACAAGGGTCCAGAATATACAGGACTAATGAATTGTGCTTCAGGGAAATTTCGTCCAAGCATTGTAAGATAAGGGTGTTTACAGAGGGATATGTACACACTGGATAAAGCTTACGGGGTTGATTGAGTGACTGACAACGCAGGCACACACTATTAAATTATTTTTCTGTACCACAGGGCCACATAGTGTCCCGAAAACTTTCATGATCATGTTACCAAACCAGTGCCTACAACTTATGTAAGTTTTTGAATTGGCAAAGAAGATTAATCAATGGGGACAAGATTCTCGTCGACTGTAATAGAATTTTCATTTGTAAAAAACAACCCATGTGAGTAGAAACAGTGGATGTTATTTGGCTGAATTCGTTGTTTTTGTAACTGTTGTTGTTGTTGTTTTCGTGCATGGTGTTCTTTGTGATGTGAGAATTGACTTTGTGGTTGTTGGCTTTGTTGCATAGAACTGAAATCAAAACAAAACAAGGAAAATAAATACACGGTACATGGATGGTACAGGGGGTTGGACAAGGTCTCAGGGACGCAAGGATAGAAGTTTGTGGGCATATGGGGGGAGATGGGGGACTTGAGTCAACATTTGAGTCTATGTCGTTCGGACGTACTCCATCCTCCATTGACAGTGGAATCGCAGTGAGGGGTTGTTCCAGACACGACATCAACACCATCACCTGCTGTGACTGACCCTGCGGCTATCGACGCCTCAGAGGCATGCATGTCGAACAAACCTTTATCCATAGTACCCCCGAGACACAATTCAGCCGAGGCGTTTACACCGTTCATGTGTAGCGCACTGTGAGGCAAGTGGAAAGTAGGGTAGAAATGCACAAGAGGACCAACTGTCACGTGATTGGGATCGTCCTCACTAGCACCGCGACCAGAGTCGGCTGATTCTACATCCAGCTCACAATGGCCCAGGTTCCCGCCGACACCGTAGCGTCGTGTTCCAGTTCCGACGGGGTGGCAACACGCGGAATTTGTAGCCGGTCCGGTTGAAAGAGGCTATATGGGTTGAAACGGGTAAGGAAATAGAGATAGTGAAACGAGATAAACAAACAGGGCCCGAACATTGAAAAAGGACGCACCAAGAAGTGAGACTCGATGCCCACATCCCGTGCTATAAAAGCTAGCTTGTTATGATGAATCGCTCTTCTGTAAATCCAAATAATAGGGCACAACTTTGGTTGTTCGCAAGTATTCAGTAAATTTCCTCGAACATGTACAGCAGTCTGTTGAAATCTTCTCATTCTGGACATTAATATTTATTGATCCATCCAAATCAAAATATTTCTGTTTGCCTTTTTCTCGTGGTGTAATAAAAGCGCATAATGTGTAGGATACACATAGATTTTACGCCAAGCAAAAGAGATAGATAAGCTAAACTTCTTTTGACATACATCGGATATTCACCCGGTATAATATGAAGATCAACAATCGATCAATTGCATGCGTCATAACGCTTGGTTATGTATATGCACTAAAAAGAAGACGACACTAATTTGATAGATCTACCCAAATAGTTCGTTTCTCTTGGATAGGGGAGTAGCTAAATGCGTGTATTTCGATAAGCGGACCTAACCGGGTGTAACAGCAGTCGAATACGAACGCACAACCTCAGGATCGAGGAGGAAATGATGCTTGAAATTTGTTGTTCTTTCTTTTCAGAACATTTGTATTTCCTAGCTTATGCCGTTCAGGTTGCCTAGATCTACCATACCCAAGTGGCTGCCCAAGTATATCAGATCGCCAAGAATTGTCGATCACAATTTATTATAACCTCTTATTTTTTACTTCCTTTCATCGAATACATGATCATACGCTTTT